GACTTCAACTCCCAGAATTCCTGAGCCAGCATGGGGGAACTATGGCCCCTTCATGACTCGTGGACTTCAACTCCCAGAATTCCTGAGCCAGCATGGCTCAGCTTGGAAACCTCTCCCTTTCCCCTCAGCATGGCTGGCTCAGGAATTCTGGGAGTTGAAGTCCACGAGTCATAAAAGAGCCAAGGTTCCCCACCCCTGGCCCAGGTAAACTGAATCAGGCCTCATGGACAAAGTCTTGAACCGAAGTCTGCGCTATGCTTAATTTTGCAGTTTGCAAATTGTATTTTATTTAATACGATTTTGCTAAGCTCGCTCGTTTCAAATATATTTAGGACCTAAGGACTGGAACAGTAAGAAATAGGGAACTGAAAGTAGCTGATGGATGCGGGTTCCAACGTACAGGGGTATATGTGGAAAGTTATGTTTAGCAGAAAGTCAGCAGGAGGTCAGTAAAAAGTCAGCAAAAGTCAGTGGACCATCTGACTACAGTCTTAGAAGAGAAAGGGTATAAAGCCGTGATAGCGAACCTTTTAGAGACCGAATGCCCAAACTGCAACCTGAAACTCACTTATGCATCGTCGAGTGCCGGGCGGGTATGGCCCATTGGGTAGGCGTGGCCCATTGGGTGGCTGTGGCTGTGGTGATAACGGCAGACTGGGTGGGACTAAAAAGTTCAATCAATCAATTCCAACTTTGCAAGATCTTTTTTTTCCCCCGCGAGAAGTTGAAATTGACTGATTGATTGAACCTTTTTTTTTTTTTGCACAGGGCAGCGGAGGCCTAAAGCGAAAAGGTTTTATAAAACCCAGCTGAAGGCCTAGGGCTGGGGCGACGGCATGCGTGCCCACAGAGAGGGCTCTGAGTGCCGCCTCTGGCACCCGTGCCATAGGTTCGCCACCACTGGTATAAAGGGTTGGGATTGGACCTGATTGATTGGCCATTGGCCTATAGCTGTCCTTTGGAATCTGCTATGCCATATGGTCCTCACTGCAATGGGTTGTTAATGTAAGTGATGTTGTGTTATTACGCTTGCTGTGTTCCAAATGATTCGCAAAATAAACCTCTGAATCTTAAAGTGAGAATTGTTGTTTTGTGCTGCTGTCTCTTGTCTTTTTTCACTGGGTTTTCCCACGACAAGCCTTACTATATTTTTTTTTCTATCCTGCTCTATGGAGTAGAGAGTTGGTCTCTGACAGAAGGCCACCTAAAGAGACTAGAAGCATTTGAAAGGTGGATTTACGGGCGGCTGTTACGTAGAAGGTGGGTTGACAAGATCAGAAATGAGGAGGGGATAAGCCGCCTGGGAAAGCCAAGGGAAATCGTCAAAACAACGAAAAAACGAAAAGTAGGATATTTCGGACGTGTGATGCGACACCCAGAAAAATACGGCATACTCCATTTAATCCTCCAGGGAAAGATGGAAGGCAAACGAGGTCCAGGCAGAAGAAGAATAGCGTGGCTTCAAAATCTAAGGGATTGGTTTGGACAAAACTCAGCAGCACTTTTCTTGCGGCTGCTGATAAAAACAGGATCGCCAACATGATCGCCAACGTCCGATAACGGATATGGCAGAAGAAGAAGAAGAAGAAGAAGAAGAAGAAGAAGAAGAAGAAGAAAAGAAGAAGAAGAAGAAGAAGAAGAAGAAGAAGAAGAAGAAGAAGAAGAAGAAGAAGAAGAAGAAGAAGAAGAAGAAGTAGTAGTAGTAGTAGTAGTAGTAGTAGTAGTAGTAGTACCAGCTTCAAATAACAGGCGGTCCTTGATTATGACCAAAATGTCTGTCGCTAAGCGGGACGGTTGTGAAGCGAGTTTTGCCCCATTTTACAACCATTCTTGCCACCGTTGTTAAGCGAATCACTGCACTTGTTAAGTAACCCGGTTGTTAAGTGAATCTGACTCCCCCATTGTTTGTCAGAAAGTGGCAAAGGGGGAGCATGTGATGCCAGGACATGGCAACCGTCATAAGTACATGCCAGTTGCCAAGCATCCCAATTTTGGTCATGTGACCACAGGGAGGCTGCAATGGTCTTAAGTGTGAAAAATGGGCATAAGTCACTTTTTTTTTTCAGCGCTGTTGTAACTTTGGTTACTAATCAAATGATTGTCGAGTCGAGAACTAGCTGTACAATCCATTTGAAAAAGAGCATTGCACTTAAAGAGCCCTATCGGCGCGCTGTACAAATGTAGCACACACAAACCTAACTGAAAAGTCCAGTTTTCTCGGTGCTATAATCTCCTTTGTCCTTCCTGTCCACTTAACCAAACTTCTGAGATTAAGAGACAGAGCACCTGGCTTCTGGAATAGTACACTGCTGGATGTGAAATTGGTATTTTGTGCTCAGCTGGGAGGGACCTTGGAGGTCTTCTAGTCCAACCCATTGCTCTAGTCTCAACCCTATCCCATCTCAGACAAGTGACTGTCCAGCCTCTTCTTAAAAACCTCCAGTGATGGAGCGCCCACGATTTCTGGAGGCATCTTCTGTTGCTCTTCTCTGCACTCTTTCTAGAGTCTCAACATCTTTTTTACACGTGGTGACCAAAACTNTGTCCGAAATGGTATAGGGTTTCCTGCCTGAGCAGGGGGTTGGACTAGATGACCTTCAAGGTCCCTTCCAACTTTACTATTATTATTATTATTAGTTAATGCAGTAGGCAAGATGCAGTGGTGAGATTCAGCCGGTTCGCACCATTTTGGCAGAACCGGTAGCTAATTTTTTTGTTGCCCAGGCCCAGAACGGACTTCCAGAAGCGGCATCCACACAGAGAACTGGTGGTTCTCAGATTTGAATCCCACCATTGGCAAGATTCAATAGTAGCAAAGGAGTGGTGTCAGGGAAAGTTGCAGTGAAAACATGCTTAAAGTTGTAATATTTGAATTACAAATTGATTTTGTGAAAGAACAGTAGTAGTAAGATTATTTTTTTTTAATCTCAGACGTGAGGGCTTGGTTTAGGTAATTTATATTATTGGCAGGAGGCTGCAGGTGAACCAGAGGAAGTCTTAAAAACAATAATTTATACTATGGAATGATTTGCTGAGAGAGAGAGAGAGAGAGAGAGAGAGAGAGAGAGAGAGAGAGAGAGAGAGAGGGGGGGGGGGGGGGGGGGGGGGGGGGGGGGGGGGGGGGGGGGGGGGGGGGGGGGTGGGTGGATAGATAGACAGACAAGACAGACAGACAGATAATGGATGGAAGGGAGGGAGGGAGAGAGGGAGGGAGATGGTGGAGGGTGGGTGGATGGATGGTAGGTAGATACAGAAATAGAGAGATAATGGGTGGATGGATGATAGATAGATAGATAGATAGATAGATAGATAGATAGATAGATAGATAGATAGATAGATAGATAGATAGATAGATAGATAGATAGATAGATAGATAATGGTAGGTAGGTAGGTAGGTAGATAATGGATGGAAGGTAGATAGATAATGGATGGAAGGTAGATAGATAGATAGATAGATAGATAGATAGATAGATAGATAGATAGATAGATAGATAGATAGATAGATAGATAGATAGATGAAGGTAGGTAGGTAGGTAAGTAGGTAGGTAGGTACATAGATAGATAGATAGATAGATAGATAGATAGATAGATAGATAGATAGATAGATAGATATTGATTTATATCTTGCCTTTATTATTGTAATAAATAAGGTGGGGAACTTATACAGTACTCCTTCCTCCTCCTATTTTCCCCATAACAACAACCCTATGAGGTGGGCTGGGTTGAGAGAGAGTCACTGGCTCAAAATCACCCAGCATTTTTCCTGCCTAAGGAAGTCTAGAACTCACAATCTCCTGGCTTCTAGCCTGATGCCTTTTAGCCCAAGGGTCTTCAAACTTGGCCACTTTAAGACTTGTGGACTTCAACTCCCAGAATTCCTCAGCCAGCCCTGGCTGAGGGATTCTGGGAGTTGAAGTCCACAAGTCTTAAAAGTGGCCAAGTTTGCAGACCCCTGCCTTAGCCACTAGACCAAACTCTAATAATAATCGGTATTGCGCTTTCAAACAAACGATGAGATATCTTCCAAGGGATCATTTCTATTAGGGGCTGGGAATTCTTAATTCCTTATTTTTCCCTCCCTGAGTTGATTGGCACTTTTGAGGCTCAAGAGGACGCTTCTGGCGTGCAGCGCAGTGCTTTAGCTGCCCAGCTTCAGCCATCCTCCGCAGAGGTTTGCTTCGCATAATGCTTGAGTCCTGTTGCTTGGCCCGCTGAGGTATGTTGAATTGTGACCTGTGTGTTTCTCTGCAGGCTCCACCGGGCGCAGTGTGCAATTAAGCAGACTCAGGTAACCGTTCAGAAAATAGGAAGGGAGATTGAACAGAAACTGAGGCTTACCTCTACAAGCAACGATCTGGTATGCTTTTTTTTTTTCCCCTCCCCCTTAACTGGTGTGTATGTGTGTGTGTGTGTGTGTTTGTCTTGGACAAGTGTTGTAAAAAAACGTTAAGGGACGAATACCGGCTTGCGCAAACGGAGTTCCTGAGCACACAGGGGGTATTTTGTTAGAGAAAGATGGATACGTGCTAAGGGGGAACGAGGGGGATTGAAGCTTTAACGCAAGCCTTCTGACCCCTTCCTGTGATTAAACCTTAGATTCTTTTACAAGTTGGGCAGGCAGAGATTCCAGAGTTTGTCTCTGGAATCACAGACCGCCAGTAGAGTTTTTAAGGAGCGGGGTCCAGATAATCCCTGGCTTAACAACCATTCGTTTAGTGGCCGTTTGAAATTGCAACAGCACCGGAAAAAGTGACTGATGATCATTTTTCACTCTTATGACTGTTTGCGGTATCTTCTCCCCCCCCCCCCCCCCCCGTGGTGACACGATCAAAATTTGGGTGCTTGGCAAAGGGCATGTATTTATGAAGTTGTAGAGTCCCGGGGATCATGAGATCACCGTTAGTAACCTTTCCAGCTGGCTTCTGACAAGCAAAGACACGATTCACTTACCGACGGCAGTGATTTGCTTAACCTAGGTCAGGGGTAATCAACCTTGGCTCTTTTATGACTCGCGGACTTCAACTCCCAGAATTCCTCAGCCAGCATGGGGGAAACTTTGGCCCCTTCATGACTCGTGAACTTCAACTCCCAGAATTCCTGAGCCAGCATGGGGAAACTATGGCCCCCTCATGACTTGTGGACTTCAACTCCCAGAATTCCTCAGCCAGCATGGGGGAACTATGGCCCCTTCATGACTCGTGGACTTCAACTCCCAGAATTCCTCAGCCAGCATGGGAGAAACTATGGCCCCTTCATGACTCGTGGACTTCAACTCCCAGAATTCCTGANTGACTCTGTGGTGAGGGAGAGAGTTACCAGGGAAAGCAAATAGAGATTAATGAATTACCAATTGAAAGCGTGGTGAACCTTGTACTCCAAGGTTTTGAGGACGAGTAACAGGAGGAACAGATGCCATTTTGGGTGCATTTTACTGGCCGGCTTAGGACCCGTGCATTATGGCTTTGGAAGAAGGCCTCCCGTGGAACCAGCTAAAATCAAAGGGCTCCCCTTAGATTGAAACAGGAACCGTTCTAACAAAACAACCGAGCTGGAAGGGACCTTGAAGGTCATCTAGTCCAGGGCTTTTCAACCTTTTCACCCACTGTACCACTTTTAGGATATGGCAACATCCGAGTAACACCAGTCGCCTAGCAAGGTGTCAAAAACATGACCAAAAAAAGAGGAAAAAAGTGATAAAGTACAGGTAGTTGTCGACTTACAACAGTTCGCTTAGTGACTGTTCGAAGTTACAATGGCACTGAAAAAAGTGCCCCTCAAGCCACAGCCGAGCAAGACACCTGCCTGCCCGCCCGGCGGCGCTCTTCCTGCTGTCTGAGGTTTTCATTGTTGTGAGCATTTCTGTTGAGGATTGGCAGCGGGGGTGGGGTGGGGGGTGTTTGATTTTTATTCCCCCCGTCTGCTGGGTGGTTGCAGCAGGTTTTGGTCACTTCACATGACCCAGGGACACTGTGACCGTCATAAATATGAATCAGTTGCCAAGCATCTGAATGTAAATCACAAGACCCTGGAGAGGCTGCAACATTCCAGCTGATTGGTGCTTCTTCTGGGCTCAGCAGAAGGGCCAGGATCAGCGCCGAGCTCCAGCTGGAGCCTGGCACTGATCCTGGTGCTGGCGCTGAGCCCTGACAGCCCTGCGGCTCCAGCCGTCTCTCGCTCAGGCTTGTGCGGTGCTGCCACCGGTTCAGCTCATTCCCCTTCCCCGCTACCACTTTTCTAGTCTGGTCACGTTCCACCTGCCAGGTGCCAATGTACCACAGGTGGTACCCGTACCACTGGTTGAAAAGCCCTACTCTAGTCTCCAACCCCCTGTTCAGGCAGGAAACCCTAGGCCTGTGGTCCGCAGAACCCTGGGTGGGGGCGCAGTGTCATCACAGGATGTCCCTAAAGGCTGCAAGAAATTTGTATGGTTTAAATCAGGGGTCCCCAACCCCCCGGTCCGTGGACCAGTCCCTACGTCCACAAGTCGTGAAGGGGCCATCGTTCCCCCATGCTGGCTCAGGAATTCTGGGAGAAGAAACAAAAACCTGAGAGTCCTCCACGAGGCCGGTTGAAGAACGTTGGCGTCAATCCACCGTCTCCCCCAGCCAGAGGATTACGCCATCGTTCGCACGCCTTTCCCAGCATTCACTAATCTGTTCAGGACATCAGTGTCTTGGTTCAGAGGCAGCATCCAAACCTTGTTGTCGGGTTGGCTGGCGGCCTAGAAAACAGGCCGTCGCTGCTGTTCTTCCCTCGAAGGCCATACAACAAACACACAAAACAACCTAACAAAAACGGCTGTTTCGTTACCCCTTTCAGGAACACTTTGCAACGTGCAAAGTTGAGCATCCTCGGCTAATTAAACCCTCATGGCTCCCACCCGGATGGAAGTTCTGGAAGCTGTTAAAGTCCTGGCTATTCTCCCAGTCTTTGGGGCAGGGCGATGGTGGGACACACACACACACATACACACACACACACACCCCGCTGGATGGGGGGGTGCTGGGGTTGGGGTGGTTTTTCTATGTTGGCTTTCAAGCCACTTACAATGTCTTTTTTCGCTTTTCTTGTTTTTATTTCTTCCATAATTGTAAGCCACCCAGAGTCATTGGGAGTCAGGAGGGCTATAAATTCAACCAATAAGTCCAGAAATAATTTGTGAGCTGTTTGTACTGGAAATTTGTCTTTCTGTGAAGTAATTAAAAAGACAGAACGATAGTTTATTTCAAGGGGGGGAAAAACGGGGCTTTGCGAAACTCCATTTTTTTTCCTTACTAAAATGAAAATAGAAGCACAGGCAGTCCTCGAGTTACAGCCACAGTTGAGCCCCAGACCTCTGCTGTTAAGTGAGACATTTGTTAAGTGAGTTTTGCCCCCGTTTTACGACCTTTCTTGCCACCGTTGTTAAGTGAACCACTGCAGTTCAGTTAGTAACGTGGCTGTTAAGTGAATCTGGTTTCCCCATTGATTTTGCTTGCCAGAAGGATGCAAAACGGGATTCATGTCATCCCGGGACGCTGCAACCGTCATGAGTACAAGTCAGTTTCCAGAGTCTCTTGAGTTTCGATCCCGTGACTGTGCTACAAAGGTCTCACGTGTGAAAAACGGTCCTAAGTCCCTTTTTTCAGTGCCGTGGTCACTTCGAACGGCCACTGAATGAACTGTTGTAAGTCGAGGATTACCTGTGTAGATGTCATTGTGGGTGATTTTGCATGAAAGGTGGCTGGTGTGGTGGCGTGAGTTTCCAGATTGCAAATGTGTGTGGTGCAATAACTTGAGTTTTAGTTTTAGGGCGGTGAATCGTCAGTTATTTTCTTGCAGACGTTTCATGACCCAACTAGGTGACATCATCAGTGCTAGGAGGGAATGGGTTTTGTTCTCTGTTTACATAGAAATGTTTAAATATCTTGAATATAAACAGAGAGCAAACCCCACTAGTCCAAACTCCGGCTAAAGCAGGAGACCCTAGGCCATGGGTAGGCAACTTTGGCCCCTTCATGACTTGTGGACTTCAACTCCCAGAATTCCTCAGCCAGGATGGCTCAGCTTGGAAACCTCTCCCTTTTCCCTCAGAATGGCTGGCTCAGGAATTCTGGGAGTTGAAGTCCACGAGGCATAAAAGAGCCAAGGTTGCCTACCCCTGGACTAGGCCATTCCAGACAAGTGGCCGTCCAGCCTCTTCTTAAAACGCCCACGATTTCTGGAGGCCAGCTGTTCCACTGGTTAATTGTCCTCGTGGTCAGGAAGTTTCTCCTTAATTCCAGGTTGCTTCTCTCCTTGATTAGTTCCCACCCATTACTTCTTGTCCTGCCTTCTGGTGCTTTGGAGAACAGGTGGACCCCCCTACTCTCTGTGGCAGCCCCTCAAATAGTGGACTACTGCAATCATGTCGCCTCCAGTCTTTCTTTTCTGTAGACAAGCCAAACTCAAACCCTGCAACCATCAGGTAATGAAACACCTGCAAGAAAGCAACCAAGCTCAGAGAGCACCAAGAACCCCAGAATTGTCGTCGTCGTCGTCGTCGTCGTCATCCTCCTCCTCCTCCTCCTCCTCCTCCTCCTCCTCCTGGCTAACCCATCCCTTCTAGCATTGATGATGTTACCTAGCTGGGTAACGAAACGTTTGCAAGAAAACAGCCAAGCTCAGAGAGCACCAAGGACCCTAGAGTTGTTGTTGTTGTCGTTGTCTTCCTCCTCCTCCTCCTCCTCCTCCTCCTCCTCCTCCTCCTCCCTTTTAGCACTGTTACCTAGTTGGGTCATGAAACGTCTGCAAGAAAACAGCCAAGCTCAGACAGCACCCAGGACCCCACAGTTCAAATGTTCTGTTCAGTTGGTAACCTCTTCAGGGACGGCTATAATCTTATTTTCCACTGAAATACACAGCACTCAACCAGGTAGCGTTTCTCCCAGAAGTGTCTCTACGTATATGCTGAGCAATCTTCGTTTTGTTTGACTGTTCGTTTGTTTTTTACAGAAAAAAAAGAGCGAGTGTTTACAGCTGAAGATTCTGGTGCTTCAGAATGAGCTGGAGAGGCAGAGAAGAGCCCTCGGCCGGGAAGTGGCCTTGTTGCATAAGGAACACAGCTCGCTGCTTGAAAGAGGTGAGTGCGAAGGAGAGCAGCTTTCTTGTCCCCCCCCCCCCCTACCAAGGAACGATGCATTGTTTGAGAGCAGGTTGCTCCTGAAAAAAAACAAAAAAGAGAGAGAGAGAGATTTTGGCAGGCTTTGGTTGTTTATTACTGACTTCCTTATGTACCTGGTGGCTTGCTAAGATGGTTAGCTAGACATATTTAATGGTGATACTGTAGGTCAGGAGTGTCCAACCTTGGCAACTTTAAGACTTGTAGATTAACTCTCAGAATTCCCCAAGGTCCCTTCCAGCTGTATTAGAATATAGCTGGAAGGGACCTTGGAGGTGTTCTAGTCCAGCCCCCTGCTCAAGCAGCAGAACCTATACCGTCTCAGACAAGTGGCTGCCCAGTCTCTTCTTAAAAACCTCCAGTGATGGAGCGCCCACGATTTCTGGAGGCAAGCTGTTCCACTGGTTAATTGTCCTCACGGTCAGGAACTTTCTCCCTACTTCCAGGTTGCTTCTCCCTTTGGTCAGTTTCCATCCGTTGCTTCTTGTCCAGCCTTCAGGTGCTTTGGAAAATAAATTGACCCCCCCCCCTCTTCTTTGTGGCAGCCCCTCAAATACTGGAACGCTGCTATCATGTCCCCCCTAGTCCTTCTTTTCTCTAGACTGGCCATTCCCAAATCCAGCAACCGTTCTTCACATGTTTTTGTGTCCAACCCCTTAACCATCTTAGTTGAAGTCCACAAGTCTTCATCATCTTAGTTGAAGATGATTAAGAAGATTAAGATGATTAGCTGAAGTCTACAACTCTTAAAAGTTGCCAAGGTTGGACACCTCTGCCATAGGTCATGAGATTAGAAGTTTCCTCCCTCAAGCCAACCTGGTGGTTCAGAGTTCCCAAGGCCTTAATCCCAGATCTTCTCCTAATATCTCCCGTTGCTTTATGAAGTGTGAAGAAGACAGCTCAAACTATAATTTCTAGCGTAAAATGCATTTACAGATAGATAGCCTTACAACGATTCGTTTGGTGACTGTTCAAAGTTAACAACACTGAAAAGAGTGACTTGTGACCCGTCCTCGCATTTATGACTGGGGAGAGGTTGCGACATCTCTGCAGTGACATGATGAAAATTTGGGCATGGATAACAGTAATCACCAGTTGCCAGTTTAGTGGTTAGCCAATCTAGTGGTTAAGGCAGGGGTTCCCAACCTATGGTCCACGGCCCAGAATCGGGTCAAGGGCTCTTGGCCAGCGGGCCACAGAAAAGGCTGGCCGGTGCACGCACGCGTGGGCGGGCATTTCCCCCCGCTACCGCCCACGTTTGCGCAGGTGTGAACAGGGATGCTAGCACGGGGCGCGTGTCTGCAGCCCATTTGCTCATGTGTCACTAGCCTGGGTGGTTTGCGCGGCCCATTTGCACATGCGCAAACGGGCTGCTAGCTGCCGTGGGGATGTGCTGCCGTTCGCGCATGCGCATGCCGCCAGTGCATGCCGCATACGTGAACGGGGCTGCTGGAGCGCCGCCAGTGTGCGTGGCCCCGTGCACGCACACACACACACACCAATTTTGAAGCTGCTCTCCTTCCCTCCGGTCCTCGAGCCCGGAAAAGTTGGAGACCTCTGGGTTAAGGCGCCAAACTGGAAACTAGGAAACTTGTGAGTTCTAGCGCTGCCTTCGCCATGAAAGCCAGCGAGGTGATCTTAGGCCAGTCACTCTCCAGTCCAGCTCCCACCTCACAGGGTGGGGGGCCGTTGTGGGGAAAATTAGGAGGTGGAAAGTGTGTTAGATTATGTTTGGTGCCTTGAGTCATTTGTAAAAAGAAAAGAAGCGGGATACAAATGAAATGAATTTAAAAAAAAAATGTGACTTTCCCAGCCAGCTTCAGACAAGCAAAGTAAATAAGGGAAGCTGGATTTCTCTTAACCGCATGATTCAAATATGGCAAAAAAAAAAAAAAAGTGGTAAAATTGGGCACGGCTCAACTTAACTAGGCAAATCTAGACCGCATACTGAAAAGCAGAGACATCACCCTGCCAACAAAAGTACGTATAGTCAAGGCCATGGTTTTCCCAGTTGCAATGTATGGCTGTGAAAGTTGGAGCATAAGAAAGGCTGAGCGCCAAAGAATGGAGGCCTTTGAGCTATGGTGCTGGAGAAGACTCCTGCGAGTCCCCTGGACTGCAAGGCGATCCAACCGGTCAGTCCTAGAGGAGATCAACCCCGACTGTTCTTTAGAAGGCCAGATCCTGAAGTTGAAACTCAAGGACTTTGGCCACCTAATGAGAAGGAAGGACTCACTGGAGAAGAGCCTGATGCTGGGAAAGATTGAGGGCAATAGAAGAAGGGGACGACAGAGAATGAGGTGGCTGGATGGAGTCCCTGAAGCAGGAGGCGTGAGCTTCAATGGACTCCAGAAGATGGTAGAGGACAGGAAGGCCTGGAGGAACGTTGTCCATGGGGTCGCAATGGGTCGGACACGACTTCGCAACTAACAACAACAACTGAACCACCATCTTGCTTAGTAACAGAAATTCTGATCCCAGTTGTGGCCATAAGTTGGGGACAACCTATAATGAGTTGAAACACCAGGGAATAGCAAAATCCTGTCTTCGTGACTAGACCCCTTCCTTAAAATTTAACAGTAGGAATGACATGCTTGTACTCAATTTTGAAACAAAGAAGAGAATAACAATCTGGGGGCGGGGGGGGGGAAAGTGATATAAAAATAGCTCTTACAAACACGACCGAAATGCTTCCAAATCCATTCCTTTGCCAAGCAAAGCTGCTTCGGAGGTTGACAGATAACACAGCCGTCGGTTGCTATGTATCAAATGTGGAGTTATTCTTCCAAGGCTTTAGGCCATCGCTTATGTGTGAAAAGTTCACCCTTTCTGACGTGTTGAAATATTCCTAATCCTGAGAATAAAGCCAAGAAGAACATACACGCCCTTAATAAGGGGGATGATCCGTCCAAAAATCACGTTAAGACTCTCGGAGACTTCAGGCCAGAATGTGAACTGGGAATCCCAGAGCACACGAGCGAATAACATACCTCTTCTTGAAAGATATTTTCAAGAGCGGAACAATTGCAACCAGCCCTTGTTCAAAATTCTCTAAAATGTCCAGTTTAGTTGAAACCAGGAAAACCTTCCCCATATCTTATTTTGCGATCAGAAGAGACTAATTTAATATTCTTCAAATTAACTCTCCTCTGGTTTAGCAGAATAGGACATGGGAGTTGAAGTCCATAAGTCATAAAGGAGCCATTGTTCAACTCCCAGAATTCCTGAGCCAGCATGGGGGAACTATGGCCCCTTCATGACTTGTGGACTTCAACTCCCAGAATTCCTGAGCCAGCATGGGGGAACTATGGCCCCTTCATGACTTGTGGACTTCAACTCCCAGAATTCCTCAGCCAGCATGGGGGGAACTATGGCCCTTTTATGACTTGTGGACTTCAACTCCCAGAATTCTTCAGCCAACATGGGGGAACTTTGGCCCCTTCATGACTCGTGGACTTCAACTCCCAGAATTCCTCAGCCAGCATGGGGGAACTATGGCCCCTTCATGACTCGTGGACTTCAACTCCCAGAATTCCTCAGCCAGCATGGGGGGAACTATGCCTCCTTTATGATTTGTGGACTTCAACTCCCACAATTCCTGAGCCAGCCATGATCTTACATATCACCAATGGTTTAACTAATTAAATAGTGTTGCTTAATTGCCAATCTTTGCTACTGAAGAGTAACCTCAGATATTTTCTTCCTCAAATGATTTTGGTAGGAAAAGTATTTGAAGAGGAACATTCAAAGCTCCGACTAGATAAGGAACCCCTGCAAGAATTAAGGAAGGAATGCACGGCCAAGAGGTAAAAGGACTCTTAAAATCGGTTGGAAGGGGGCAGGGAGATTTGCCTATATTCTGCTTGTTCATATACAGTTATCCTAAAGGATATTTAAACCTGACTGTTCTTTGGAAGGACAGATATTGAAGCTGAAACTCAAATACTTGGGCCCCTAAATGAGAAGAGAGAACTCCTTGGAAAAGATTCTGATGTTGGGAAAGAGGGAAGGCAAAAGGAGAAACAAACGGCAGAGGATGAGATGGTTAGACAGAGTTAATTAGATAAACTGATTAGTCGCTGCAAAAATTAGGTGTTCATCCCTCTGCTGAACACCTAATTCCTGCAGCTGACAAAATACAGTGACTACTACGGGTTTTTTTTAATCTAACATATATATATTAACCCGTGTGTGGCTACAATATTATTTATTATTTTACTTTATTGGCTCTTCTTCTTCTTCTTCTTCTTCTTCTTCTTCTTCTTCTTCTTCTTCTTCTTCTTCTTCTTCTTCTTCTTCTTCTTCTTCTTCTTCTTCTTCTTCAAGAAGAAGAAGAAGAAGAAGAAGAAGAAGAAGAAGAAGAAGAAGAAGAAGAAGAAGAAGAAGATCCTCTTCCTCTTCCTCTTCCTCTTCCTCTTCTTCTCCTTCACCACCACCTCCTCCTCCTTCTTCTTCTTCTTCTCCTTCTCCTTCTTCATCTTCTTCTTCATCTTCATCATTATTATGCGCATAGTCAGCCAGATGTTCAGACTGGATTTGGCATTTTTGTCTACCTATCGAGTCCTTCCCAAGGACCTGGGATAGGCAAATGTGGATGTTTGACGGTATCACAGATATTGTCGCAGGATGGAGGCGGTTCCTAGTAAGGCCGCCTTTTGCAATTGACTAATGGTGAATTTGTCAATGCCGATGATGGTGTTCAAGTGGTGCTCCAGTTGTTTTGGGATTGCACCCAAGGCGCCTATTACTATTGGTACTACCCTTGCTTGCTTTTGCCACAGTCTTTCTATTTCTATTTGTATTTTGTTATCTCCTCCAGTTCTCCTCCTCCTCCTCCTGCTGTTATTATTATTATTATTTTCTGTTGTTTTGCAAGTCCACTGAATGCTTCAGTACCGGAAACAAATTGCTTGTGTGTCTAGTCACCCTTGGCCAAATAAATGAAATAAATAGACAAAGTCATTGATGCAGTGGATGTAGGTTTGGATGGACCCAGGGGGATAGTGGAGGACACGGGGGGGGGGGGGGCTGGTGTGTGCTGTGGTCCTTGGGGTCATGGGGAATTGGCCATGATGTCAATGGTGCTAATATTGGTGTTTCATTAGTCGGAACTATGACACATGACTTGGTGGCTGAAAACAATAACAACAACATGTATAGTTAGTGGCCAATTCTTCTTTCACAAGAGCTAGAGAATACCTGCTGATCGAGTGCTAAAGGGGAAGGGTGGCCCAGAATCTTAAGAAATACCCATGAAGTACCAAGAATTGTAAATTGGACACCGATGTTATATTGGAATCCCTCATTCGCGGCGAAGGAAGGCGTTTAGACAGAAACTGGCTGATTTTTGTGTTTATCATTTTCCTGTGATGTTTCCTTCTATACCAGGGGTAGGCAACCTTGGCTCTTTTATGACTTGTGGACTTCAACTCCCAGAATTCCTGAGCCAGCATGGGGGAACTATGGTCCCTTCATGACTTGCGGACTTCAACTCCCAGAATTCTTCAGCCAGCATGGGGGAAGTATGGCCCCCTCATGACTCGTGGACTTCAACTCCCAGAATTCCTGAGCCAGCATGGGGGAACTATGGCCTCCTCATGACTTGTGGACTTCAACTCCCAGAATTCCTCAGCCAGTGTGGGGGAACTATGGCCCCTTCATGACTTGGGGACTTCAACTCCCAGAATTCCTGAGCCAGCATGGGGGAACTATGGCCCCTTCATGACTTGTGGACTTCAATTCCCAGAATTCCTGAGCCAGCATGGCTCAGCTTGGAAACCTCTCCCTTTCCCCTCAGCATGGCTGGCTCAGGAATTCTGGGAGTTGAAGTCCACGAGTCATAAAAGAGCCAAGGTTGCCTACCCCTGTTCTGAACTGTACCTCAGCGGCTTCCAACCTTTTCTATACCCCGCACCCCTGGAACGCTTCCGATATATTCTCGCGCCCTTTACAAACGTTCGAAACAACAGCAACCAATTATGCAAATACATGTAATTTTGAAAACTTAACTTTTCGCACCTCCTGGAATATCATCTCGCACCCCCGGTTGGGAACTCCCTGCTCTACCTTAACAATACTTTTTCAAGAAGTCCTCACGGTGGGAACAATTTCCAGAAATGAACACTTTTTGCTACTCTTAGTTGGACATTCTTCCTTACGCATCCCTTCCGCCCAGATAAATTCATCTGTGGAGTTTCTTCTGTGAACCAGATCCTCAGATAAAACTTGCCAAGCCATCATTTTTTTTCCCTAATGGCCTGTCAGCGTATTACACAGGAAATGTATCCTTGTTGAAGTCAGCCATTTTAGTCAGCTACACCGGGACTTTAAAAGCAAACGGTACTGCACCTCTCTCAGCGGGGCAGAACCAGTAATATCTCAGAATAAGGGTGTTGACAGCTCCTTCAGGAAGCCATGGTTGCCCAATTGACCGGTTTCTGTCTCCTTCCCCAGAGAGCAAGTCTTGAAAACCAACGCTCAGCTGACGATCCGATGTAGGCAATTGCTATCGGAGCTTTCCTGTATTTATCCGATTGATACGGTGAGTGATGGATTCTCTAAGAATGGCCGGTTCAGGAATTGAGTTAAATGTCCGGCTTTTACCTTGGAGAAGAGGTTGAACTTCAGTTATCCTAAACATTAACTATCTATGAACAAAAGTGACCTTAGCTTAAGCAGCCTAGAACAGGGGTCTTCAACCCTCGGTCTGTGGACCGGTATCAGGCCGCGGCATGCCAGCAACCGGTCCGACAAACAAGCAAAGCCCCATCTGCGGGATACAGGCAGCACACAAAACCACGCACCCACTGGTCCACGGAAAAAAACCTTTCTCCACGGAACCGGTCCCTGGTGCCCCAAAGGTCGGGGGCCTCTAGGCGTAGAACATAAGATTTTGCATCTGTATATTTCCAGATTCAATCCTGGGTTCTTAAATTCAGAGGGGTGATAGGGCTGGGAGAGGCCAGTACACTTGGCAGTCATGTACTATCTAAAGTGGGAGAGGCAGTATATAAATTTAACAAATTTTAGATAGGTAGATAGATAGATAGATAGATAGATAGATAGATAGATAGATAGATAGATAGATAGATAGATAGATAGGTAGGTAGGTAGGTAGGTAGGTAGGTAGGTAGGTAGGTAGGTAGGTAGGTAGGTAGATGATGGATGGTAGGTAGATAGATACTGTAGATAATGGTAGGTAGATAGATAGGTAGGTAGATAGATAGATAGTAGGTAGGTAGGTAGATGGTAGGTAGATAGATGGTAGGCAGGTAGGTAGGTTGGTAGGTAGATAGATAGATAGATAGTAGGTAGGTAGGTAGATGGTAGGTAGATGGTAGGTAGGTAGGTAGGTAGGTAGGTAGGTAGGTAGGTAGGTAGGTAGATAGATAGATAGATAGATAGATAGATAGATAGATAGATAGATAGATAGATAGATAGATAGAGGGTAGGTAGATAGATAGATAGATGATAGATAGATAGATAGATAGATAGATAGATAGATAGATAGATAGATAGATAGATAGATAGATAGATAGAT